AGATAGATAGATAGATAGATAGATAGATAGATAGATAGATAGATAGATAGATAGATAGATAGATAGATAGATAGATAGATAGATAGATAGATAGATAGATAGATAGATAGATAGATAGATAGATAGATAGATAGATAGATAGATAGATAGATAGATAATAGATAGATAGATAGATAGATAGATAGATAGATAGATAGATAGATAGATAGATAGATAAACTCACCTTTTTCTTTTTCAAATTCAGGACTATCACAATACAGTGTTAAAGTTTGTAAACTCAAATTATACAGATCATTAAATTCCTCATTTAAACGTGTGTCTATTTCATGTTCATATTCCAATTTGATATTATCATGTTTGTTATTATTAAATATTCGTTTAAAGATATCTGTTATCTATTAATTAAATAAATAGTATTAGTTCTTTTTCTCAAATAAAACAAATCAAAACATTTTAACCTCATTTTCTTTAAATGTTGTGTTTTTCCACATTTCCAAATCTCCTTCAGTAGAATTCATAACATTCTTTAAACACATTCCACGAAATAGATGATCATGTCTGTAGTGAAATTGATAGGAGTTGGAAAATTCTTCAATCTGCTGCCATAATGGAGATATAACATCTGGTATTATTTCTGCATAAGTTAGGCAATATATGCGAGGTAAATGTGTATAGTTTTTATGCAAACACTGATTGTAATCCTCAAAAATATATAAGGGAGGCATATTTTTATAAGAAGTCACTAAATTGTTAAAGATAAATTTATAACAATTAAAATATTAATTGGATTATTTGAAGTAACTTTTACGTACTATTTATTTGTGCTTTACACATCACTATTAAACTATTAATTGCAATTAATGTAATAATTCTAAAACCCCCGACCATTTTTAAAAAATTTTGAATATAAACTTTTTACAGAATAATTGATCTGCCAAAGATCTTCCTCAATTGTTTAATCAACACTTTTGAATACATTGAATAGTTCTTATAATGTTTCAAAAACATCTTTAAAGAATTGCTTTTATAAAGATTTAAACTAAATTGTTGATTTACAATACTTTTAAGAGAAAATTTTATGCAACAATTTTACACCCTACTGTTAAGTATAAAGGATTTTAAACACAACAATTCTGTTAATCGGTTTGGCAGTTTTTAAATTTTTTTCTTATTTAATAAATTCCCACAAGTGTTTTCATTTAAAATTATTTTTTAGGTGATCCTTATAACTAAAACTAATAAATTTAGTGTGTATAAAGATTCTGCATGACCAACCAAAACTTTTTTAATATTTTGTACTTGTCTCAACTTCAATTAATTTAAATGCTACAAATAATTCCAATTTGATCAAAATTTGCACGCAACCTAATTCGACTATTGTTACATCAGTGGATATAAAATTAGCAATATGTTAGGATTTTGAAAATTGAATAGACATTTTGAATGTTTTCGATAGTTGTTTTGAGTTGCAGAATATTTACAATGAATATTCTCTATTTATCGAATATTATCGGAAAACTTTTCCGAAATTCTTAGTCCGTCAGTCTGAATGTAGTGGGTTTAATTTTCTCCATAGCCTTAGGTTAAGTATCACAAAACAGTCCCCATATTGGCTAACTTTTGTTAAATTAGACAAGAAGGAAAATCTTTGTATCAACTGTAGAACCCTACTTATATCAGATTTCCAAAATATATATTTCCAATACATTCTGGATATTTGAATTAAAAGCAGTTAAGTGTAAATATTCTTTCATCAATTCATTATATCAATAGATTATTAAATTAACATTTGCTTTACAAATGTTGTAAAAATGACATAAACTCTAGAAAACTTAGCCGGCTAAAAACGGAATCCAAAATGCCGCCGTAATATCATGCGTCAACTGCCGCCGTCATTGATTTTAGTCGGCACAGGTCTCTATGAGGAGACCCTAAAAAATTATTAGAAAAACATACACAAAAAAATTACCTAAGATAAAAAATAACATAAAAAATAATTAAATAAAGTTATTAACACACAAAAAGCGATAAGTTTTACTATGAAACTTCAATAAATCGTTGGTGATTCATGTTAAAAAATATGACAGACAATATTCATTGACAAATTGAACACAACAATACATTTTCAATAAGACAAAAAAATAAAGGGCGTCTTCGTATAAAAAAGATAAAATTTTAAAGAAATTGAAAATAAATAAATTTGTTTAATTATATTTATAATCATCCAGCAAATAAAAGTTTCTAAGTTTGCAGTTAAAACAAAGATTTTTAAAAACTTTTGTGTGTGACCCCTTTGCCAACCAGTAGCAACAATAAGTCGTCAAAATTGCTACTCTAACACCCTTAACGAGCACACGCAACGCCCAAGACAGCGTTTGCAAAGGCTCCAACCAACAGATTAAGCCAAAAGTAGAGGTAGCCAGCAGCAGCAACAGTAATAATATATCAGCACCACATCAACAGGTAAAGCCGGAACAGTCAACAGCAGCATCTTCATCATCGTCTGGTTTATATACGAGTGGTAATAGCACTAATAGTACTTGTCTAGTAGCTGTTACTCGTGCCATCGAGGGTAAATTACAATTGACTGCCAGTCCTTGTGACGATTTGGTCTTGGTGACCACTTCCAAAATGTCCGGAGATCAAAAGACTTTAATTAAGGGTCATAGTTCGCAGTATGTGAAGTTGAATGTTGGTGGCCGTTTATATTATACCACAATTGGAACGCTGACAAAGCACAATGATACGATGTTAAGTGCCATGTTTAGCGGTCGCATGGAGGTGTTGACAGATTCGGAAGGTAAGGGAATTTTTATATAGCATAGAAGGTGTGCTTTGTTACAAAAAAAAAAAAAAATTCATAGAAATTTATTATCTAGTCTATAGTCCAGTCTAATCTATAGTCTAGTCTATAGCGGAATCTATAATCTAGTCTATAGCGGAATCTATAGCCTAGTCTATAGCGGAATCTATAGCCTAGTCTGTAGCGGAATCTATAGCCTAGTCTATAGTCTAGTCTATAGCCTAGTCTATAGTCTAGTCTATAGTCTAGTCTATAGTCTAGTCTAGTCTATAGTCTAGTCTATAGTCTAGTCTATAGTCTAGTCTATAGTCTAGTCTAGTCTAGTCTAGTCTATAGTCTAGTCTATAGTCTAGTCTATAGTCTAGTCTATAGTCTAGTCTATAGTCTAGTCTATAGTCTAGTCTATAGTCTAGTCTATAGTCTAGTCTATAGTCTAGTCTATAGTCTAGTCTATAGTCTAGTCTATAGTCTAGTCTATAGTCTAGTCTATAGTCTAGTCTATAGTCTAGTCTATAGTCTAGTCTATAGTCTAGTCTATAGTCTAGTCTATAGTCTAGTCTATAGTCTAGTCTATAGTCTAGTCTATAGTCTAGTCTATAGTCTAGTCTATAGTCTAGTCTATAGTCTAGTCTATAGTCTAGTCTATAGTCTAGTCTATAGTCTACTCTATAGTCTAGTCTATAGTCTAGTCCATAGTCTAGTCTATAGTCTAGTCTATAGTCTAGTCTATAGTCTAGTCTATAGTCTAGTCTATAGTCTAGTCTATAGTCTAGTCTATAGTCTAGTCCATAGTCTAGTCTATAGTCTAGTCTATAGTCTAGTCTATAGTCTAGTCTATAGTCTAGTCTATAGTCTAGTCTATAGTCTAGTCTATAGTCTATAGTCTAGTCTATAGTCTAGTCTATAGTCTAGTCTATAGTCTAGTCTATAGTCTAGTCTATAGTCTAGTCTATAGTCTAGTCTATAGTCTAGTCTATAGTCTAGTCTATAGTCTAGTCTATAGTCTAGTCTATAGTCTAGTCTATAGTCTAGTCTATAGTCTAGTCTATAGTCTAGTCTATAGTCTAGTCTATAGTCTAGTCTATAGTCTAGTCTATAGTCTAGTCTATAGTCTAGTCTATAGTCTAGTCTATAGTCTAGTCTATAGTCTAGTCTATAGTCTAGTCTATAGTCTAGTCTATAGTCTAGTCTATAGTCTAGTCTATAGTCTAGTCTATAGTCTAGTCTATAGTCTAGTCTATAGTCTAGTCTAGTCTAGTCTAGTCTATAGTCTAGTCTATAGTCTAGTTATAGTCTAGTCTATAGTCTAGTCTATAGTCTAGTCTATAGTCTAGTCTATAGTCTAGTCTATAGTCTAGTCTACTAGTCTATAAGTCTAGTCTTATAGTCTAGTCTATAGTCTAGTCTATAGTCTAGTCTATAGTCTAGTCTATAGTCTAGTCTATAGTCTAATCTATAGTCATAGTCTATAGTCTAGTCCTATAGTCTAGTCTATAGTCTAGTCTATAGTCTAGTCTATAGTCTAGTCTATAGTCTAGTCTATAGGTCTAGTCTATAGCCTAGTCTATAGTCTAGTCTATAGTCTAGTCTATAGTCTAGTCTATAGTCTAGTCTATAGGTCTAGTCTATAGTCTAGTCTATAGTCTAGTCTATAGTCTAGTCTATAGTCTAGTCTATAGTCTAGTCTATAGTCTAGTCTATAGTCTAGTCTATAGTCTAGTCTATAGTCTAGTCTATAGTCTAGTCTATAGTCTAGTCTATAGTCTAGTCTATAGTCTAGTCTATAGTCTAGTCTATAGTCTAGTCCATAGTCTAGTCTATTGTCTAGTCAATTGTCTAGTCTATTGTCTAGTCTATTGTCTAGTATTTTGTCTAGTCTATTGTCTTGGCTATATTCTAGTCTATAGCCTAGTCTAGTCTATAGCCTAGTCTATTGTCTAGTCTATAGCCTAGTCTATAGCCTAGTCTGTATGGTAGTCTATAGCCTAGTCAATAGTCTAGTCTATAGCCTAGTCAATAGTCTAGTCTATAGCCCAGTATGTAGTCTAGTCTATAGCCTAATCTACAGTCTTGTTTAGTCAATAGTATAGTCTGCAATATTGTTTAGTCTATAGTCTAGTCTGTAGATTTTAAACGCTTTAAACATCAGTATATCCAAAAAAGAAAAATATTTACAAATATTAATTTATTTTGTAGGTTGGATACTTATCGATCGCTGTGGACAACATTTTGGCACCATACTTAATTATCTACGTGATGGTACAGTACCACTGCCAGAGTCTCATCGAGAAATTGCCGAACTATTAGCCGAGGCTAAATACTACTGCATAACTGAACTGGCCATGTCATGTGAACGCGCCCTGCTGGCACATCAAGAACCCAAACCTATTTGTCGCATTCCTCTTATAACATCACAGAAAGAAGAACAAATGCTAATAAGTTCATCATCGAAACCGGCCGTTATATTGGTAGTGCAACGACAAAATAACAAGTATTCATATACCAGTAATTCGGATGATAATCTCTTGAAAAATATTGAACTATTCGATAAGTTATCGTTGCGTTTCAATGAACGCATTTTGTTCATAAAAGATGTCATTGGACCGAGTGAGATATGTTGTTGGTCCTTTTATGGACATGGCAAAAAGGTGGCCGAAGTGTGTTGTACCTCTATAGTGTATGCAACAGATCGGAAGCATACAAAGGTAGAATTCCCAGAAGCTCGTATATATGAGGAAACCTTACAAGTGTTATTGTATGAAAATCGTAATGCACCCGATCAAGAGCTATTGCAGGCGACCTCTTCGGTACGCAATCCCTCGGGTGGTGGTTCGTCGTCGGGTGCTTCGGGAGCCGGTTCCAGTGGTATGCATCAGTATACTAGTGATGAGGAAGAAGAACGTACTGGTCTGGCCCGCTTGCGTTCAAATAAACGCAATAATCCCACATGATTTGTAACCCATTATGTGGTACGGCCACGACCCATACTTCCCTAACTATGGCGTACCAGTGGTAGTGATAGTGCTTAAAGCTACTCCAAATGAGATTTACAAAAGAAAAGGGTTTCAAAGCAAAGAAAAACTCTAAACAAAACAGCAAGCCCCCAATATATTCTAAAAATATTTAATTAAAATATTCTTCTTAAATAACAAATAAACCATAGTTGTTAAATGTTTTTTTAAACCCAATGTGCCAATTCTAAGGGTACGAGGTAAAACAAGACTCCTTAAACACTTGATACGAATTTATAGGTTCACAGCCTTGTATAAAAAAGGAGCTTATAACTATAAATTTAATTATTCATTTACTGTTTGTATACAATTACATTAAAATAACAATATTGTATTAACTTTTTTTAATTTTTTTCAATCTATAATTTTGAACTTATTTAAGTAAAAAAAGAAACATTGTTTATGAATTAATTACATGTTTATGTACGTACACACACTTATTAAAAATGTTTAACAAACTTTAAAAAAAAAACTGTTTAAATAAAAGAAATAAATAAATTGTATTAAAAATTAAAATCAGCTTAATATTGATTAATAAAATATAAACCATTTTGAAGAAAAAATAAATTTGTTAAAATCATATTTTCCATAATAGAATATTTCGATTTAAAAATTTTATGGATCTTTATTATAAAGATTTTATGAAATTTGTAAGGATCCTTTTTCTACTAATACAATTCCAAAAATTTCCTTATATGTAGTAATATATTCCTAAATCTCTGGAGAGTCGACTTAAACAGCTTATTATTTATTTTGTTTATAAAAATTTTGCAAATTTACTAAGATTACCTTAAATAAATTCACCTTGATTGCTTGTTATCAATTTAAAATGAATGCCATAAACAAAAGCTGAAACCAGACAGCAGTGTCGACTAAAATAAATAACGGCGTTAGCTAATTTAAAATTTTTGTACGGACGTTTAAAATCATCTGTCAACTGTTGCTAAAATCACCAACCAATGCTAAATTTTTTGAAAAATACTCATTTTTTATATAAAATTTTGGAAATTTCTTTAAAAATACTAAAGAATTTTTATAAATTTAATGGCAATCCAAATAATATGATAACTAACGTCGGCCGCATTATAAATTGAACGGCGTTAAGAATAACGGTTAAGCTGACTACAGCACAATTTGTTTTGTTTTGATTATTGTTGCTGTAAAATTTACTTTTTTATAAATATTTTAGAAAAATTCTAATAAATTATAATGAAAATGGCTAAAAGAGACAGAGAAGGTAATTATACTTAAATATTAAATGTTAAATTTGTTATATTAATTAAAATTCTCTTGGAACATACCAAAGAAAAACATAAGAAAAAACATAAACATCACAAGTCATCCAAAAACAAATCGGAGAGTTTTGAACAATCCAAGGAATCGCCCAATGTAAGCTTACAGCAAGAAAGTGAAGATATTGATGTGGAAGATGAAAGAAATGATACACCCAATAGTATGAATCGCAGCAAGGAGTCAACCTTTAACAATGACGAGGAAACTGTCGATGTAGAAGTGGAGGAGGAATTAATGGAGGATAGCATCGAAATAGAAACAAGCATTGAGGAAACAAGTGCAGCTAAAACTATTCAAAAGATGGAAAAGTCCACAATTAACAAAAAACCACTTAAGAAATTAGAAGAAACCGAAATAGTTAATACAAAAACTCCCGTAACACCCTCCTCTGCTGCAAATAAGAAAAATAAAAGACGCCGCGATAGTGGCACCTCCAGCGAAGAGGAACGTTGGTTGACGGCTGTAGAATCGGGAAAACTAGAAGAAATTGAAGATGTAGAATTGCGTAAAATGAAAGATCCCAAACTAATGACTGCCCGTCAAAGAGCCATGTATGATCGTAATAATGATACCGAATCTGCACCGGGATTTTCGGAAACCTTAATGGCTCTACCCACTGGTTACAAGGAAAAAGAGAAACCACAAACCGCCGAAGAACTACAGAAAGCGGCCTTAAAAATACTCAAACGTAAACAGCAGGCGGATGAAAAGCGTGAAAAGGATAAAAAGAAAACTATGGAACGTTTGCTTAAGAAACAAGAAAGTAAACATAGGGCGGGTAATAAACCAAAATCAGCGAAAGAACTAACTCCCATGATAAGTTATAAGAATACTTTGGAAGGTGCGGTTATACAATTACCGGCGGGTGTAGAATTTCCTTTGGCCGCTCAATTACCCAAAGAACCACCCAAACAGCAGTTGTGTGGTATAGCGGGTTGTAGCAATCCTAAGGTGTATAATTGTTCCAAAACTAATTTACCTTTATGTAGTTTCGCGTGTTATCGTAAAAATGTTCAATCTCTTAAAGAAATTATATGTTAAGAAAAAAAGCTAGATTTTTTTTTATTTTTAATTTTTTAGTCGAGATCATGGACTAGAAAATAGCCCAGCCTAAATGCTACGCTATAGTCCAGACTATAGACAGTAGTCTTGTCTATAATCCAGATTATAGATTGCACTTAAGAATAGACTAGTATATTATAGACTATACTATAGATAAGACTATAGACTAGACTGTAGACTATGGATTAGGCTATAAACTCTACTAAAGAAATGGCTATAGAATAGGTTACAGACTAGACTAGGCTATAGACTAGACTATAGAATAGATTATAGAAAAGGCTATAGACTAGACTATATACTAGACTATAGAATAGGCTATAGACTAGAATATAGACTAGACTATATGCTAGACTATAGACTAGACTACAGAAAAAACTATAGATTAGTCCTGACTATAAACTAGTTCTTATACTAGACTTTAAATTAGACTTAAACTAGTCTATAGACAAGACTATAGACTAGACTATAGACTATAGACTACACTATAGACTAGATTATAAACTAGACTATAGACTAGACTAGACTATAGACTAGACTATAGACTAGACTATAGACTAGACTATAGACTAGACTAGACTATAGACTAGATTATAGACTAGACTATAGACTAGACTATAGACTAGACTATAGACTAGACTATAGACTAGACTATAGACTAGACTATAGACTAGACTATAGACTAGACTATAGACTAGACTATAGACTAGACTATAGACTAGACTATAGACTAGACTATAGACTAGACTATAGACTAGACTATAGACTAGACTATAGACTAAAACTATAGACTAGACTATAGACTAGACTATAGACTAGACTATAGACTAGACTATAGACTAGACTATAGACTAGACTATATGACTAGGACTATAGACTAGACTATAGACTAGACTATAGACTAGACTAATAGACTAGACTATAGACTAGACTATAGACTAGACTATAGACTAGACTATAGACTAGACTATAGACTAGACTATAGACTAGACTAGACTAGACTATAGACTAGACTATAGGACTATAGACTAGACTAGTACTATAGACTAGACTATAGACTAGACTATAGACTAGACTATAGACTAGACTATAGACTAGACTATAGACTAGACTATAGACTAGGACTATAGACTAGACTATAGACTAGACTATAGACTAGACTATAGACTAGACTATAGACTAGACTATAGACTAGACTATAGGACTAGACTATAGACTAGACTATAGACTAGACTATAGACTAGACTATAGACTAGACTATAGACTAGACTATAGACTAGACTATAGACTAGACTATAGACTAGACTATAGACTAGACTATAGACTAGACTATAGACTAGACCTAGACTATAGACTAGACTATAGACTAGACTATAGACTAGACTATAGACTAGACTATAGACTAGACTATAGACTAGACTATAGACTAGACTATAGACTAGACTATAGACTAGAATATAGACTAGACTATAGACTAGAATATAGACTAGACTGTAGACTAGACTATAGACTAGACTATAGACTAGACTATAGACTAGACTATAGACTAGGACTATAGACTAGACTATAGACTAGACTATAGACTAGACTATAGACTAGACTATAGACTAGACTATAGACTAGACTATAGACTGATCTATAGACTAAACTATAAACTTGAATATAGGCAAAGCTATAGATCAGACTTGGACTATGCTATAGACCAGACTATAGTCCAGATTTTAGACCAGATTATAGTCCAGACAATAGACTTGACTATAGTGCAGACTATAGACTAGACTATAGAACAGATTGTAGAATAGACTGAAAGATTCTGAAGAAAGTTAACAGCAAAACATATTTCATAGTTTCCTCTTATTTTTATTGATTCATTAAGAAATTATTAATAAGTTCCTGTTGTTCCGATTCGATACGCTGTAAATATTGATATTCACTTTTCAAACGATCCAATTCTAAATTTTTCTCATGTATTTTACTCTGCAAACAAAATGTGAATATAAAAATTTTTCAACAAATCATTTTCTGTATTATTTTGCCTAACAAACCTGGTACAACTGTTGCTCTGCCTGTCTTTGTTTGGCCATTGTTTTTCAACATATTTTGAGTTCCAATAGCCCTTAGCTTTTCCTTTTCCACATCTTTGCCATAGTTATTAACGATTTTATGAAATTCTATGGCTAATTTTTTAAATTCTTCCAATTTATTGGCATACTCCAAACATTCTTCTCTCAGTTCATTAGTTTCGGTGGCTATACGAGGATCTTGTACACGTAAACGGTAAATATCATCTATAAATAGTCCAGCTTTTTGTAATTCTTCGGACATTTTTATAATTTTTGTTCAAAATTTTAATAGAATTAGTTTGGAAAAGGTTTAATGTTTGGATTATCGCAGTTGCTATGGTTACGCCAAATGATGTTTAAGGGCTTTAAGTCTCCAACACATTTCCCTTGATGTTTGTTTAACAGTAATATTTGTAAAATTTGATCTGGCATCTCTGTTTTCCTTGTTTATTCTTAATTTATTTTACTTACTTTTTTAAATTAATAAAAAAACTGTTAAATTAATTAAAATTTAAATAGACATTTTATTAAAGAATCAAAAGTTTATTTTACTATACTTAAAATATAGAATACACTGAGAGAAAATAATTAATATTTATATGTTTACAATTTCTTTTTTAAGGTTTTTTTTTTTTTGATTTTAATAAATTTATAGTTTTAATTTGTTTAATATTAAGACATTTTTATGGTTTTTACAATATTATAAAACATTTAATAAAAATTAAAACAAAAACACAACAAAGTATTAAATTATAAAATTTTTCAAAAATATTTTCTTTTAACTATAATTACTAAATATCATCAATTAGGGGAACACTCTACTATCCGATATTTAATACATTTGAAAAGCAACACCTTTCCTTCATCCCTTAATGTAACGTTATGGGCGGTACAAAATTACCACATTTGGGAAAATTAGCTGGTACTGGTGGCCAATCCTTTTTCGTGCCCACTTGAAATAGTAAATTCATGCCGATAACAATGTGATATTGAAAATGACAATGAAACATCCAAACGCCCGGATTATCGGCACGAAATCTTATAACTGTATAACCATTATTCGGCACCGCTACCGTATCCCTTAGCGAGGGCATAAGGAATTTTCGATTTAATATACCACGTCTATCTAGATCAAGTGCCAGTTTCAAACTCATACGTTGTGTTTCCTCATCGGGTGAACGACCAATACCGATGACATAAAACGGCATGCCATGCAAATGAAACGGATGACTAATGTTGATCTGTTGCACCTCATCGATTAGTACTACTTCGACGACAGCATCGAGTGGTATATCTATTTTATGGACACATTCACAATTTTCGCCACAGTCGGCTGGACGATTGTCACCGTTACAAAAGTAACTCTTTGGGATGTCATCGTATTGTGAGAGTACAGGTGAGGGTGGTGATATATACGATACTTCATCTATTAACGATGTCAAGTGATCAGCATCGGAGGCAACTGTAGTGGGGAATGAGAATTTTGCGGAGATTAATTATGATGGGGGAGCAAAAAACTTGAGGGGGGGGGAAAGGGGGGGGGACAAAGGCGGGCGGGGGGGGGAGAGGCGGAGAGGCCGAGGGAGGGGAAGGAGGGGGAGGGGGAAGGACAGGGGAGAGAGCGAGACGAAAGGAAGGCGAGCGAGCGAGACGATCGAGCGAGCGAGAGCGAGCGAGCGAGCGAGCGAGCGAGCGAGCGAGCGAGCGAGCGAGCGAGCGAGCGAGCGAGCGAGCGAGCGAGCGAGCGAGCGAGCGAGCGAGCGACCGACCGAGGAGCGAGCGAGCGAGCGAGCGAGAGAGCGAGCGAGGAGCGAGCGAGCGAGCGAGCGAGCGAGCGAGCGAGCGAGCGAGCGAGCGAGCGAGCGAGCGAGCGAGCGAGCGAGCGAGCGAGCGAGCGAGCGAGCGAGCGAGAGCGAGCGAGCGAGCGAGCGAGAGCGAGCGAGCGAGCGAGCGAGAGCGAGCGAGCGAGCGAGCGAGCGAGCGAGCAGCGAGCGAGCGAGCGAGCGAGCGAGCGAGCGAGCGAGCGAGCGAGCGAGCGAGCGAGCGAGCGAGCGAGCGAGCGAGCGAGCGAGCGAGGAGCGAGCGAGCGAGCGAGCGAGGCGAGCGAGCGAGCGAGCGAGCGAGCGAGCGAGCGAGAGAGCGAGCGAGCGAGCGAGCGAGAGAGCGAGCGAGCGAGCGAGCGAGCGAGCGAGCGAGCGAGCGAGAGAGAGAGCGAGAGAGCGAGCGAGCGAGCGAGCGAGCGAGCGAGCGAGCGAGAGAGCGAGCGAGCGAGCGAGCGAGCGAGAGAGCGAGCGAGCGAGCGAGCGAGCGAGCGAGAGCGAGCGAGCGAGCGAGCGAGCGAGCGAGCGAGCGAGCGAGCGAGCGAGCGAGCGAGCGAGCGAGCGAGCGAGCGAGCGAGCGCGAGAGAGAGCGAGCGAGCGAGCGAGCGAGCGAGCGAGCGAGCGAGCGAGCGAGCGAGCGAGCGAGCGAGCGAGCGAGAGAGCGAGCGAGCGAGCGAGCGAGCGAGCGAGCGAGCGAGCGAGCGAGCGAGCGAGCGAGCGAGCGAGCGAGCGAGAGAGCGAGCGAGCGAGCGAGCGAGCGAGCGAGCGAGGAGCGAGCGAGCGAGCGAGCGAGCGAGCGAGCGAGCGAGCGAGCGAGCGAGAGCGAGCGAGCAGCGAGCGAGCGAGGAGCGAGCGAGCGAGAGAGCGAGCGAGCGAGCGAGCGAGCGAGCGAGCGAGCGAGCGAGCGAGCGAGCGAAGCGAGCGAGCGAGCGAGCGAGCGAGCGAGCGAGCGAGCGAGCGAGCGAGCGAGCGAGCGAGCGAGCGAGCAGCGAGCGAGCGAGCGAGCGAGCTAGCGAGCGAGCGAGCGAGCGAGCGAGCTAGAGAGGAGCGAGCGAGCGAGCGAGCGAGCGAGCGAGCGAGCGAGCGAGCGAGCGAGGAGCGAGCGAGCGAGCGAGCGAGCGAGCGAGCGAGCGAGCGAGCGAGCGAGCGAGCGAGCGAGAGCGAGCGAGGAGCGAGCGAGCGAGCGAGCGAGCGAGCGAGCGAGCGAGCGAGCGAGCGAGCGAGCGAGCGGCGAGCGAGCGAGCGAGCGAGCGAGCGAGCGAGCGAGCGAGCGAGCGAGGAGCGAGCGAGCGGAGCGAGCGAGCGAGCGAGCGAGCGAGCGATAGCGAGCGAGCGAGCCGAGCGAGCTGCTGAGCGAGCGAGCGAGCGAGCGAGCGAGCGAGCGAGCGAGCGATGCGAGCGAGCGAGCGAGCGAGCGAGCGAGCGAGCGAGCGAGCGAGCGAGCGAGCGAGCGAGCGAGCGAGCGAGCGAGCGAGCGAGCGAGCGAGCGAGCGAGCGAGCGAGCTGAGCGAGCGAGCGAGCGAGCGAGCGAGCGAGCTGCGAGCGAGCGAGCGACGAGCGAGCTAGGCTCAGAGAGCGAGCGAGCGAGCGAGCGAGCTAGCGAGCGAGCGATCGAGCGATCGATCGAGCGAGCTGAGCGAGCGATCGAGCGTAGCGAGTCTAGCTATCATCGTATCTATCTATCATCTATCTATCTATCTATCGATCTATCTATCTATCTATCTATCTATCTATCTATCTATTCTATCTATCTATCGTATCTATCATCATCTATCTATATACCGGATCGTACTTTGTTGCTGTTAATTAAGAAAGTGTTGCTGTCCAGTGCAGTTAAGGATTAAGGTTCGTCTAGGATGTTATGAAGAGTCTGTAATGAATTAGCATGTTATATCATTGGATATATTGTTTAAAGGTAAGATATGAAATGTAACAGTTTATAATACTGCTGTGGTAAGTGGTTTTTGGTATTAAATCACACATTTATGAAAAACATAAAATATATAAACTTACCTTAGATGAATATAGGGCTTTGGCAGTTTAGTTTCTTTATATGATATTAAAACATTGAAATTTTATACATAAAGCAGATATTGGTATGTAATTTTTTTATATATATAAACAATTTATTATAAATTTAGATAAATTAAAAACAAAACATAAAAAACAATAATTAAATTAAAAAAAAAAGAATACATATGGACTTAAATGTTATTGACAGACGAAATATCACTACATATTTGCTAGGTTCAAGTGCTAGTCTGATTTTCCGGAGAAGTAGTTTACTATTAGATTTATTTTTGCAAATCAGACTAGTACAGGAACTGGAACAAGTTATAGATAAAAATTTTTATATGTAAAATAAGTCATTTGATTTAAAATTATATTATAATTGAATTTTTGTATAAAATATATTAAAACTTTAAATTAAAAACAGTAGTTATTTAAGAGAACTGTTAGTTACATCAAACATTTTTTATTTTTAGTAAACTTGGTTAGGATGATAAAATGGTGGATGATGGATAAATGGTATGATATGATTGATTGATTAGTATATAAAATTTGGTAAGAGCCTGCTTAATAAGTATCTTGCAAATTGGTTAACAACATTTTTATAGGTTTCTTTTGATATATACACAACATGACTTGGCACGCTCTTCACATTCTCTCATTCGTTTTTACAATCCTTCATTTGTTTCACTAGGCATTTACTTCTCTCTCTCTATCAACTCATATTAGTTTTTTCTCTTTAAAACTAATTAAAAAATTATTAAATAATTTAAGTTAAGACACAAACCTCCCTTTTTAAGTTTTAAAATAATGCTATAGTTAAGAGGTCTCTAGAGAGGTTTTTAAAATAAAGACACAGGAGGTCTATGATCGCCGCAAGTAGGAAATGCATCGGGTACGGGCGGTAAATCTGCATGAGTACCAATATGAAAGACCAGATTCATGCCTATAACAATGTGAAACAGAAAATGACAATGGAACATCCAGTAGCCAGGATTATCAGCACGAAATCTCATGACAGCATAACCATTATTGGGCACAGCAATGGTATCCTTTAGAGGCGGCTGGCTAAAATCACGTTCAATCATTCCCATGCGATCCAATTCCAAAGTGTGTTTCAAATTGATTTTCTTAATAGACTTGTCGGGAGAGAACGACCCAAAACCCACCAAATAGAATGCCGTACCATGTAAATGAAATGGATGACTGAGGTTTGTCTGTTGCACCTCATCGACTAACACCACTTCCACAACCGCTCCTAATGGTATATCAACTTTGTGGACACATTCACAATTGGGTCCACAATTCGGTGGACGATTATCACCATTACAGAATAGCTCTGGCGGTATGTCATGTATTTGCGAGAGCATCGGTGATGGTGGTGCTACATAGGAAATTTCATCTATTAACGATGTCAAGTGATCACCACTAGGAGCCACTATATAAGTTTAAATTATCGTATTTTATATGTTTATAAAATGAGAAAAGAGAAAAATCGAAACATTAACTTATGCTCTAAACGAGTAAAGGAACTATAACGTTTTATGGGATTGTTTTAGTAGTCTTAAACGTTTTAACCCTTTTTTGAGGGCATTTTTTAGTTCTTTTACATTTAACACATAAAAATTTTTACACAAAAAAACATAAAATTATATACAAAATATTTCCATAATCGTTTACTGCTTAATTTAGGGGAAATCACAACTTACCCAAATATTTATTATATGTATTGGGTTATAAATAGATTTTTCGGTTCATAGACATAGAAACGGAATGGTAAGAAGATTTTCACATCGGGTCTTTCCACCAAAACACTTTTATCCACCGCTTTAGCATTTTTCAAATTCGATACACATATGGCATCGGTACGTTTACGATCACAAATGGCATCTAGAGGATTAAGTACCTGTGGGCGAGTTAGATTTCAGATATTTTATAAAATTTTTAAATTAATTATTTTATTTTATAAAATTGTTAATTTATTTAAAAGTTATTGTGGCACTTACTTGTCTTTTTTAAAATATCTTACTTGAGCTTTATTCGGGTGCTGTTTATTTACATTGGAAGTATTTGGGATGGGTACCAATTTTGCCCATTATTGGAAATACTTATACAATTTTGTCCTTTCTTATTAAGGATCTAAAATTATAGTATTTCTTTTATAAAAATTAAGTTATTAAAAAGTTAAACGCGCTATTTACATGGTCGCAAATGTTTCAATGGTTTTATGGGGACCAACGACAATCGTAAATAAATTTCCGATTGCCACAATATGGGTCCGGGATTGAAAACCGTTTACTTGAATAGTAGTTTAATGTTATTGCTGTTTTCGTATTAGGTTATGTTGGGTTTATTTTGGAAATTTCTAGGAGTAATTATCGGATTATAAATGTATATATATCGATAAGAACAGGACATTCTGATTATGCATTAGCAACAAAAAAGGTTTAAAAAAACAGAAAATGTTTCTTAAACTAATTTGACTGAATACCAAAAATACCACTAGTTTACATCCTTATCGAATTATACTTTGGTGGCAGTCTAGACTAGACTATATACTAACTAGACTAGACTAGATTATAGAGAAGACTGTAGACTAGACTATAGACTAGACTATAGACTAGACTATAGACTAGACTATAGACCAGACTATAGACTAGACTATAGACTAGACTATAGACTAGACTATAGACTAGACTATAGACTAGACTATAGACTAGACTATAGACTAGACTATAGACTAGACTATAGGCTAGACTATAGACTAGACTATAGACTAGACTATAGACTAGACTATAGACTAGACTATAGACTAGACTATAGACTAGACTATAGACTAGACTATAGACTAGACTATAGACTAGACTATAGACTAGACTATAGACTAGACTATAGACTAGACTATAGACTAGACTATAGACTAGACTATAGACTAGACTATAGACTAGACTATAGACTAGACTATAGACTAGAATAGACTAGACTATAGACTAGACTATAGACTAGACTATAGACTAGACTATAGACTAGACTATAGACTAGACTATAGACTAGACTATAGACTAGACTATAGACTAGATTAGACTAGACTAGACTAGTCTATAGACTAGACTAGACTATAGACTAGACTATAGACTAGACTATAGACTAGACTATAGACTAGACTATAGACTAGACTATAGACTAGACTATAGACTAGACTATAGACTAGACTATAGACTAGACTATAGACTAGACTATAGACTAGACTATAGACTAGACTATAGACTAGACTATAGACTAGACTATAGACTAGACTATAGACTAGACTATAGACTAGACTATAGACTAGACTATAGACTAGACTATAGACTAGACTATAGACTAGACTATACACTAGACTATAGACTAGACTATAGACTATACTATAGACTATACTATAGACTAGACTATAGACTAGACTATAGACTAGACTATAGACTAGACTATAGAATAGACTATAGAATAGACTATAGACTAGACTATAGACTAGACTATAGACTATACTATAGAATAGACTATAGAATAGACTATAGACTAGACTATAGACTAGACTATAGACTAGACTATAGACTAGACTATAGACTAGACTATAGACTAGACTATAGACTAGACTATAGACTAGACTATAGACTAGACTATAGACTAGACTATAGACTAGACTATAGACTAGACTATAGACTAGACTATAGACTAGACTATAGACTAGACTATAGACTAGACTATAGACTAGACTATAGACTAGACTATAGACTAGACTATAGACTAGACTATAGACTAGACTATAGACTAGACTATAGACTAGACTATAGACTAGACTATAGACTAGACTATAGACTAGACTATAGACTAGACTATAGACTAGACTATAGACTAGACTATAGACTAGACTATAGACTAGACTATAGACTAGACTATAGACTAGACTATAGACTAGACTATAGACTAGACTATAGACTAGACTATAGACTAGACTATAGACTAGACTATAGACTAGACTAGACTATAGACTAGACTAGACTATAGACTAGACTATAGACTAGACTATAGACTAGACTATAGACTAGACTATAGACTAGACTATAGACTAGACTATAGACTAGACTATAGACTAGACTATAGACTAGACTATAGACTAGACTATAGACTAGACTATAGACTAGACTATAGACTAGACTATAGACTAGACTATAGACTAGACTATAGACTAGACTATAGACTAGACTATAGACTAGACTATAGACTAGACTATAGACTAGACTATAGGCTAGACTAGACTATAGACTAAACTAGACTATAGACTAAACTAGACTATAGACTAAACTAGACTATAGACTAAACTAGACTATAGACTAGACTATAGACTAGACTATAGACTAGACTATAGACTAGACTATAGACTAGGCTATAGACTAGACTATACTATAGACTATACTATAGACTAGACGATAGACTAGACGATAGACTAGACTCTAGACTAGACTATAGACTAGACTATAGACTAGACTATAGACTAGCCTATAGACTAGACTATAGACTAGACTATAGACTAGACTATAGACTGGACTATAGACTAGACTATAGACTAGACTATAGACTAGACTATAGACTAGACTATAGACTAGACTATAGACTAGACTATAGACTAGACTATAGACTAGACTATAGACTAGACTATAGACTAGACTATAGACTAGACTATAGACTAGACTATAGACTAGACTATAGACTAGACTATAGACTAGACTATAGACTAGACTATAGACTAGACTATAGACTAGACTACACTATAGAGAAGACTATATACTAGACTAGACTGTAGACTAGACTACACTATAGAGAAGACTATACACTAGACTATAGACTAGACTATAGACTATATTATAGACTAGACTATAGACTAGATTATAAGCTAAACTATAAACTAGACTATAAAGTCTAGTCTAGACTATAGACTAGACTAAGGCTAGACTATAGGCTAGACTATAGACTAGACTATAAGCTAGACTAGACTATAGGTTAGACTATAGTCTAGACTATAAACTAGACTGAACTATAGGACTATACTATAAGCTAGACTATAGACTAGACTATAGGACTAGACTATATACTAGACTATAGACTAGACTACAGACAAGACTATAGACTAGACTATAGAGTAGACTATAGACTAGACTATAGAGTAAACTATAGACTAGAATATAGAATAGACTATAGACTAGCCTATAGACTAGACTATAGACTAGCCTATAGACTAGACTATAGACTAGACTATAGACTAGACTATAGACTAGACCATAGAGTAGACTATAGACTAGACTATAGACTAGACTATAGACTGGAATATAGACTAGACTATAGACTAAACTGTAGACTTAACTATAGACTAAACTATAGACTAGACTATAGACTAAACTATAGACAAGACTACAGACTAGACTAGACAATAGACTACTTTGTTTATAAGTTTATAAATTAGAAAAAGTACCGAAATTGTCCTGGGAGTACTATCGTATTTTTCGTTGTCAAAATGTACTGAATTTTCCATGCCTGCTCTGTAGACAACTCGGTAGACAAGATTATTCTCGGAACTAGTTAAATACCTAGTTTTATGACATGTCTGGTAACAAGTCTACTGATTATGCTACAGTATAGTCTATTAACTAGTCCATATACAGATCTATTGACTAGTGTTTTGATGTGTTATGAACTAGGCTATTGACCTATCTATATGCTAACCTATTGTTAAGTTCATTGGCTAGTCAATGTACTAATCTATAACTAGCCTGTTAATTAATATATTGACTAGTGTATGGTCTAGTCTAAGGACTAGTTATTGACAAGTATATTGACTAATCCGTGGTTCAGTCTATCGACTATCTATTGACATGTCTATGAATTAGACTATGGACTAGTGTAAAGACTAGTCTACTAACTAGTCTAAAGATTTGGCTATTATAGTCTAGTATACATATATACTAGTTTAGAGACTTGTCTAAAGACAGCTCCACTGATTAGTCTGTGGACTAGTCTAGTGACTGCGTTATTGTTAAATCTATTGTCTGGTATTGGGACAAGTATGTAGAACATTTATTTCATATATCGAGATGTTAAAAACTACTGAAAAGAGTTCAATAGTATTACATTTTCCATCCCTGTTATTTATAAACATCATTTTAGGTCTAGCAATGGCTTATTTTAATATAAAATTATTAACACTAGATAATTTAGTAAATTTCAATTAAAACAAGATTAAGGTCTCGGGAAGAGGGTAACATTAATCTTATTAACTAACTTAATAATTATTGTAATTGTATTTGTATTTACAATAAACAAGTTATTAGGGTGCAAACTTAAACGATTTATGATGTTGTTTTTTTAATATAATTTATTTTGTTTTTATTTTATTTTAAAAATAATTAAATTTAATATTAACGGCAGTAATATTCGTATAAAAATATAATAATATTTAATATTTTACATGTCTTTATACAATTAACTCATTTGATTTTTTCTTTTTTTTTTTTGTTTAAATTATTAACATTTTTCAAAAGAAACATAAAAAAATAATAAAAAAAAATTAACATTTAAATAAGCGGTGCAAAAATTAAACGAAAATTAATACAAACAATTTAAGGAAAAATAGGCAAAAAAGGAAGGAGTATTTTAAGGGTTATAATATTTTTAAACATTTTTACAAAAGTAAAAAACTTAAAAAAAAAAAAAATATATAATTATAATAAACATAAACTATTGCAGTTCTGTATTTAAAAATTTAAATAATAAAATATACACTAAGAGCAAAAAAAAAAAAAAAAAATACATACAAGTACAAATTACTTAACAGAAACTATACACAGAGAGAAAAAAATGGGAAAAGAAAATTTTGCAATTAATACATACAAATAAAAAATTAGAAAAGGGACAAATTATTTATAAAAGTAAAGAAAATTTTCTTAATTTACAAACAAAACAAAAGAATTTTTTTTAATATTTTTGAAAAAATAAAAATTAACTATATTTTGGTAAAGTGTACTCGAGTTAAAAAATGTTTAAAAAATAATTCATAGTTTTATGACTATTGCGCTGGGAAATAATTATAAATAATTTCCTTAAAGTTTTTTTTAAAAATATATAAGAAAAACCTTTTAAAAATGGCTGCTAAAGCTTAAATAAAAACAGCTTTGTGTTCTGTTATAAATGGCTTTTTTTACAAGTAGCTAAAGTTGTTTATATTTAAGCTTATATTAAGCCTTGGTTGAGTAAAACAAGGCTTCCGATATATTTCTTAAGCGCAAATAATAATAGTTATAAAATAATTTCAAATACATAATTGTATAGTCAGTGGAGTATGTTCATTATTTACAAAATAGGCGCTAAGCTTAAAGCTTAAACAAGCTTTAAAGCTTATTTAAAATTTCTGCTTAGATATTTTCTAGTTTTTTCGTTCAAGTTTTTTTTTTCAGTTATTTATAATACATTTTTATTTGTTGTCTATGTCTTCTAAAAACTTTGTACATGTGTGTTCTCTAGAAAATGATTCGATTTGTTATATGGTATTGCTGCAACAAATGTCTTTTTTCGTTTTAGGGAAAATCTTATTTGTTGTCAATCATTTTCTCTAACACCTATTAGTTGTTATTTAGTTTAGTTTTTGTGTTGTTATAAGTTTTTTTTTTGTTTTAATTGGTAGTTTTAATTAGTTTAATTAAAGTATTTAATTAATAGGTATAGGAGGCGTGTGATCACCACATGTGGGGAAACCTGGTGGTATTGGTGGCAAATCGGCATTTGTACCCACTTGCAAAATCAAATTCATACCAATAACAATATGGAACAAGAAATGACAATGGAATAGCCAGAAACCTAGAAAAACAAAGAAAAATAAATGTTATAGCCAATAGATAAACAATTGCTTTCACTTCCAACTTACCAGGATTATCAGCTCTAAATCTTAGTACCACATAACCATTGTTTGGCACCGCAATGGTATCTTTGGTGGGTGGCAAATTGTATTGTCTGTGCAAGAGACCACGTCTATCCAAATCCAAGGCATGTTTCAAGTTAATCTTCTTGACATTAGTATCGGGCGAACGACCAATACCCACTACACTGAAACCGTAACCGTGCAAATGGAAGGGATGTGACAAGTTGGGTTGTGGACTAAAGAAAAAGGTTAAAAACAAGAGATTATATAAAGTTTTGGTTAAAATTTAGTTGAGTGACGGGAAAAGGGCGGGGAAGAAGGGAGAAGGGGAACAGAAGGGGAAAGGCTGGAAAACGGCGCGGAACGGAGCGAAAGAGAAGCGGAGGGAGGGTCCAGAAAACAAGGGAGGAGGAGGAAAGGGAGCGGAAGGGGGGAACAGGGGAGCACGACCACCAGGGAAGCGGGAAGGGAACGAACGAACGAAGCGAACGAACGAACGAACGAACGAAACGAACGAACGAAACGAACGAAGAACGAACGAAACGAACGAACGAACGAACGAACAAACTAACGAACGAACGAACAACGAACGAACGAAACGAACGAACGAACGAACGAACGAACGAACGAAAGAACGAACGAACGAACGAACGAACGAACGAACGAACGAACGAACGAACGAACGAACAACGAACGAAGACGAACGAACGAACGAACGAACGAACGAACGAACGAACGAACGAACGAAGAACGAACGAACAACGAACGAACGAACGAACGAACGAACGAACGAACGAACGAACGAACGAGAAAGAACGAACGAACGAACGAAGAACGAACGAACGAACGAACGAACGAACGAACGACGAAGAACGAACGAACGAACGAACGAACGAACGAACGAACGAACGAACGAACGAACGAACGAACGAAAACGAACGAACGAAAACGAACGAACGAACGAACGAACGAAGAAACGAACGAACGAACAAACGAACGAACGAACGAACGAACGAACGAACGAACGAACGAACAACGAACGAACGAACGAACGAACGAACGAACGAACTAACGAACGAACGAACGAACGAAGAACGAACGACGAACGAACGAACGAACAACGAAAACTAACAACGAACGAACGAACTAACGAACGAACAAACGAACTAACTAACGAACGAACGAACGAACTAACGAACTAACTAACTAACTAACTAACTAACTAACACTAACTAACTAACTAACTAATAACTAACAACTAACTAACTAACAAACTAACTAACTAACTAACTAACTAACTAACAACTAATATTTAAACAACCTAAAACTTTGAACTATTGTAACTTAATACAATCACCTTTAAATGCCTTTACAAAATCTCTTTTGATCCAACCCTAGAGGTCAGGGTATTGATAACTCTAATCAAGGTACTATTCAATAGTAGTCCATTGACTAGTCGATAGACTAGTGGACAGACTAGTCCATAGACTAATTAATAGAATAATCCATAAACTAGTGAATTGAAAAGTCCATAGAATTATCAACAGACTATTCAACATACTAATCAATAGACTAGAATAGACCAGTCCATAAATTAATCAATATACTTGTCCATTGACTAGTTAACAGACTAATGCATAGACTAGTCAATAGACTAATATATAGCCTAGTCTATAGACTAGACAATAGACTAGACAGTAGTCTATTCAACATACTAATCAATAGACTAGAATATACTAATCCATAGAATACAATAGACTAGTCCATATTGAAGACAATAGAGTAGTCAATAGACCAGTCTATGGACTAGACAATAGAGTAGTTTTTAGCCTAGTCCATAGACTAGTCAAAATACTGCTCAGTAGACTATTCAATATACTAATCAATAGTAGTCCATAGACTTGTCCATAGACTAATTAATAGAATAGCCCATAGACTAGTGAATAGAAAAGTCCATAGTCTAGCCAATAACTAGTCAGTAGTCTATTCAACATACTAATCAATAGACTAGAATAGATCATCCATATACTTGTCCATAGACTTAATATTTAGCCTAGCCCATAGACTAGCCAATAAACTAGTCAGTAGACTATTCAACATACTAATCAATAGACTAGTACATTGACTAGTCCATATATAAGTCAGACTTGTCCACAGATTAGTCCATAGACTAGTCAACAGACTAGTTCATAGACTACTGACTAGCCTTTGGTCTATAGACTACTAGTCTATGGATTAGTATATTATCTAATCAGTCTATGATAGTCTATGAACTAGTCTATTGACTAGTATACAAGTCATAAGTGATTCGGTATTTTTCTATATCAAAAAGTACTCAAAAATTTAAATATTATTGATTTTTCCAGCCCTGATTCAAATGAGACATTCTTGGTTTCTAGATATTTCTAATTTTACTTCTTCTATCATATTGAGTACTATTTATATAGTTCGTATTATTTCTTCCTTTAAACATGACCTCCTTTACCTCTGGAAGTTTTTTTTTTCAAAACAAAACTAACTTAAACTTTAATTCTCACCCTACCCAATAACAAATGTTTATAATATAAACTTTATATTGTTTATATAGTTATTTTTTTAAACTCTTTAAAATAAAACTGGGTTTGGTTTTCTAACAAACCATAGTCAATAATCCCCTGGTAGTAGTGTTTTTATTGCTGTTCAGTTAAACTAGAGCACTTTGCATTTTAGTACCTCCTAACTTCATATACTTTTCATATTGTTTGGAAAATTATAGATTTTATTTATTTAGTTTTTCAATCAGAAACCTAAGAAAAAACTTTTTTGTTTATAACTATATAAAAAACCAAAAAACAATCATACTCGTAATATTAAATGACCGGCAATAATAATATACATATAAATTATAGTTATTTAAACAAAAAATGTGTTGGTTCTTTTAGATTAAAGTTGTGTTTTGTTTTGCTTTTTTTTCCAACTGTACGCTATGATTATTTCTTTCTAAGTGTTAGACAGTATTGTAATTTTTCGGCGAAAATTTATTTTATTATTTTTAAAACTCAACAATGGAAAATGCGTTGGAGTTTATTTCTTTTAATGTTTGTATTTAGTTGT